ATGGCAAGTCAAAGAATTGGAAACCGAGAGAGAAAAAATATGAGCTATGAATTGCCATCTATCTCAGCATAATGAATATACAAAGAAAACACATTCCTCTTGGAAACACATTCACAAGTTAATGGTAGATATCCCATGTGGCTGGTGTTATGATTCTTGAATTTGCAATGGAAGAAAATGCCACAACTTATAGGGAAGGGCCTCCAAATAGTTGGAAAATGGCCCAGCTCACAACGTGCCAAACTCAATATGGTCCAGATTTGAATAAACACAATTTCCCACAAGTTTAAGGCTACCAGACTGACCCAGGTCACTCTTAGAACTGAGCATTCCAAGGAGGGTAGCCAGTTAATCACAGACTATTAGAGGGGACTGCGTCCTCTCCACTGCATTTTATCTCCATCTCATCCCCTCCCATCTCAGGCTGAAAAAAGCCGTATTTAAGTCTGTATCATATAGCCTAAACAGTGCTGATTTATTATAGTGTATTCATTTCAGAAATGTTTGATATTATTTGGTATGCATGTTGTAACACATGGGCTGTTGACCAAATATTCTCCTTTTGCATACAAGAAGATTATATTTCCTCTTTCTCTTTGAAGTTAGGCATGGCCATGTGACTACTTGATCAATAGAATTTGAGCAAAAGTGAGTATAAATTGCTATAGGTTTTTCTCTCTGCCATGGTGACTAGATAAGTTCCAACTGCTTTTCTGTTAGACTGAAGTGAGAATGATATGGAGCAAAATTCCAAGTTAACTCATGGATAAGTAGAGTGTGCAAGAGGAAATCTATGTGTTGTAGTCTCTGAGATTTGAGGATTGTTTATATTACAGCAAAATCTAACCTATCCTGACAACACAACTACAATATAAGTATAAAAATATAGTTTTTTCTTGTAGCCAGTCAGCTAATACATTTGATGGGTGCCAATCTCAGCCTTCAATCAGTGAGCCATTCTGTTTTCTTTAATGGTTCTTCCTTGTGTTGTTTGTTTAGTTCTGTCATTAATTTTGTTCTGGGGAATAATTTTGATGAATAATGGCAGACTAAACATTACAAAAGTTTGTTCTGGAGGTTTCCTTAGATTTTCTTTCAGATTAGATGTTAAAATGTAAACCTTCAAAGAAATGGGGGAAATAGAGGCTGAAGAACAACAGGGAATTAGAAACTGGTGGAAGATGTTTTACATTATGAAAGGCAAGCATCATTGCAACTTGGAAGATGTTACTAATTGTATGAGTAGTAGCTGGAAGAAACCATGGCCACAGACATGCCATAATTCAATTTAAAAAAAAAAATAAGGATGTTAATTATTTCTTGCTATGTAACAAATTTCTCCACACTCTGCCAGAATTTAGAAGTGGTTTAGATGGTGGTTCTTGCTAAGGATCTTTTAAGTCTGAAGAGTTTCTTGAAACAGGGATCTCATCATAGGACTGCGTTGAGTGTACTTATAACATAACACCTAACTTCTTCTAAAGCAAGTGATATAAGAGAACAGTATAGATCCTTCAATGTTGTTTATGGTCTAGACTTGGAAATTACACTCTGTCATTTGGACAATATCTTGTTTGCTACACAAGCCAATCACATTCAGTAGGGGAGGAATCAACATAAGAGCATAAATACCAGGAGACAAGGATCAATTGAGGCTATTTTGGGGACTGACTACACAGTGCAAGAGCCTTTGTCAATATGTAACAAAGGGATTGCTTTTCCAAAGGGAATCTGCTATAATGGTCTGTTGTTGATTTATCATTCTAGAAACACAATCTCTCCCATCCCATCTGCATGTACTCAATGGGATAAAATAAATAAACATATTTCAATAATACAAAAAATGATTGACCAACACTTTTCATGAGCTACTACTGGCTTTAGAAGATATTCTTCATCAATATTCCATAGTGTTTTCTTATTATTTGCATAAAATTAAAAATAATTGAAAAAAAATTGAACTTTTGGCATTTCAATTAAGTGTTTCTTTATTAAGTACAGTATTTTTCTATCATGTAAATATCAAAATATATTAACCAAAAAAAAGTTGAATTTTTATTTTCTAAAAGTAAAATCTAAAAAAAGAAAAACAATTTACATTGTATAGCACTTACTATCCACTGCAACTGTATATTTTTGGAAAAATTATTTCCTCAGATTGCTCTGCAATGATAGATAGTCATCATCTTAATTTTCCTCCTTTTCTCATGCCTTTAAAATTGGAAATATTTCTTGAGTTTTATCTTAATGACATTCATTATATACTTTAAGAATTCTCATTTGAAGGAAAGTTTCAAGTTTTTATTGTTCTATGAAAAAAAGCAAATATAACAAAGTATTTCATTTCACAAAATTTTAGTAAAGACACTACTTCTATCCTTGTTTGAAATTAAACAACATTTAAAAATTCACGTTGATTTATTTTTCTACATAAAGCTGCAGAAAACATTTAGCATGATTGTAACAAGACCATAACCATCTAAATGTCTCCTACATTTCTTGCTTCTCTTCAACCAGAATGTACTCTATTGACTGTCTTAGGGCACTGATGATTCTCATTTCAAAAATTCTTTTCTAGTTTGGATTGTCTGTAATCTGGAATGTATTTGTCCACCGATATCATCAGAATTCCTCAATTTAGTATTCTCCAGCCACAGACTCTAACACCCTTTTGTGGGAAAATCTAAGAGGCTTAGCAGAATGATGTGCTATAATTTCTTGTGGCTTGATTTGAGAACAAAAATCTTAAGCTTTTTCATTTTGTTCTCTTCCTGGTGTCACAGATATATCTACTTTTCTTCCTACCACTGTTCCCTTTGTTTCTGCTTATAGTTTATCTCTTTTCTTGGTTCACAAGAGACATAGAACTTACTTTTAAAATAATAATAACAGTAATAGATAACTGACATTTACTGAATGCTGCTACAATTTAGATGCTAGTCTGAGGTATTCTGTATTATCTTATTTAATCCTCACAACAACCCTAAATGTAAGGCATTATTTTTACCCTTATTTGCAGATGAGATAACTGAGGAATTTAGAAGATGAATAACCTGCTTAGAATCATGCAGTTAGTACATGACAGGATAAGAATTTAAACTTAAGCAGTTTGACTTTGTATCACATCTCTTGTTAACCATGAGATGATCTGTAAGAATTCCTAAAGTTATTTAATGTTAATGTATTACTTCATTTCTTTAATCCATTGCTTATAGCTGGGAACAGAATCAAACATCACAGACACTTCTTGAGCAAGCCGTAAGTGGCCATGAGACTAAGCTGTTCTCAGTCCCAGAAATTAGAAATTCTTTTCCATTGTACATTCTTATATCCTTGACAGGAAAATGGATACCTTTTCCCACTGGAAACTGAACAAGGTCACCTTGGCCCAGGTTGTCAGGAACAAATACTTGTCTACAGGAAGATGACAATATTGCAATTAAAGATTTCTAACATTTCTTTAAAAAAAAAAAAACACATAGTAACATGTAGATATTTGATGAATACTTAACAAATATGAGATGGTAATATGATTTATTAGTTCCACTAAGTAATTTTGTTAAAGAAAGAATGATGAGTGAGTAGATAGATAAGCAGTCCAACAGGCAAGTGGTCAGATGATGCCCTCTAGCTAGACAGAAAAACAGTAGTTGTAATTAGAAAAAAATCAGAGGCAGCCTGTTGTTGCACAGGTAGGGATTGGTACGTCTTTGTAAAAGGAGGTATGGACATTGGCCATTGTAGGGGAAGTTAAACATCTACAATGCAGGTGAAAATATTCATATAGACAGTTGTAATGAGAGTTTGGAATTTGGAGACTCACTGCTCATTCTGAAATGAACAGTCATGAGTTTTAGAAAATTATTTTTCTTCTTTTAGTCTTGGATTCCTCTACAAAGTTAGGGAGTTGGAAAAATCAACATTTCCCGAAGAGTATGCTTTGGAATAGCAGCTCTTTGGGATATAAATACACACAATAAATAGCAGAAGTTTCGAGTCAAAGTAGGTATTATAGTCCTTCAAGTTGCAAATAACAAAATACCTGACTCAAGTTGGCCTAATAAAAAAACAGGATTTTTCCTCTCCATAGCTTAAAAGTCCGGGAGGAGAGCTGGCCTTTGCAATGGCTGATTCCTATGATCTAAGTAATGTCATTAGGCAGAATAATGGACACCCAAAGATGTCCATGCCCTAGTCACTATAAACTTCGAATAAGACAAAAAGGACTTTGCAGATGTGATTAACATTTGAGATGGAGAAGATTATCCTGGGCCCAATTTAATCACACAATCCTTAAAAGTGGAAGAGGAGAAAGGTGATATAAAAAGGGCTTAGCCTGCTGTTGTTACCTTTGAATATGGAAAAAGGGGGCCACATGCCAAGGATTATAGTGGCCTCTGGAAGTTGAGAACAACCCTCTACTGAACAGCCCAAAAAAAAAATGAGGACCTTGTTCCACAACCAAAGGAACGGAATTCTAACAACACATATGAAAGAAGATGGATTCCTAGAGCTTTCAGAAAGAGACATAGCCCTGCTGACTGTCTGATTTTAGTCCAGTGATCTGCACCATATATCTGACTTCCAGAACTGAGAACTGTCAAACAGATTTGTGCTGTTTTAAGCCACTGAATTTCTGGTAATTTGTTATAACAGCAACAGAAAATTAATACACCTCCTGGTTCTTATTGGCTTTCTTATTGGCTTCTTTCATGAGCCAGGTGGTTCCAGCAGTTTCAACCTCTTTCTCCTAGTCTTAAAGACAAATGTAAAAAGAAAGGGTCTCTTCCCAGTAAATACTAGAAAGGTTCTTGGCCTGATTTCCACTCACTAGAAGTGGGCCATATGTTTATCCTTGAGCAGTGACTGTGGCTGGGGGTGAATTTATTAACTGACATAAACCACATGCCTATTTCTAGAATAGGTTAGAGTTAAGAATAGATAAGCCGCTTTCAAACCATATGCTGTGAGACAGGGCAGGAGAGATTTCCATAAAAGTAACTAGGGTACAGATAGCAGAATTAGTTTTAGACAGTCCCCAAAAAGTGTTCACTAGTTTGGAAAGCTCTCATTAAGCAAATGTAACCAGTTTTACCTACCGGGATTTCTTAGGGCCTATAATATACATAATGAATATCCAAGAAGGAGAGTATACTGTTAATGTTTTCCAAATGTATTACTTTTGTGTTGTTGCTGTTAAAAATCACTACATATTTAGTGGCTTAAATAATACAAATTTATTATTTTATAGCTCTGGAGGTCAGAGGTCCAAAATGGGTTGGCATGGCTGTAATCCTTCTGGAGGAAGTTTTGCTCACCTTGATGAGAACAATCCAGAGGATTTGTGGCCACAAAAGCCAGATGGGGATAGTTTCTGTCAGCAGCACAAGGTGAGAGCAGAAGCCACGAGCTCCATGGACCACTCGGGAAAACGACGCACAGAGGTAAGCACAGTTGTCAACCTCAGGATGCATTCAGGAAACAGCAGTATTAAAAGGTTACACTTTTTTTAATTCAAGATATAGTTGTACAGTAGTGGACTTAACATGGATGCCAGCCTACATGTGGCTCATTAAATCATCCCCAAGAGGAGGGGATACATATTTCCTAGTTAGGACAAAGGCATCAGATGTGCTTGTGAAGCAACTGGTGGTTTCAGTGGCGTGGAGGGGGAAAGCCCTATCACAGTGATTTGAAGACTGAACAGGAGGAGAGAAGGAGGGTACCTTCTATGGTATAAGCTCAGTACTCCTATCAGGGCAACTTTAAACTGCCAGAAAGAAAGATTTTCATTGTGGAAGAAAGGTGAATCAGAGAAGATACATTAAAAGAACAAATGGAAAGAGAGGAAAGAGAAGGAACTGTGGTGGAATATGGGTTATGTCTTTTATGGCTAATAAAACCTAGATTTTTATTTTGTTAATTCTTACGTTCATAAAGCTCCACATAGTTTTAAAAGTTGTTTCACATTGCATTTGACTCTTAAAACATCTTGGGAGATTGGTAATACAGCATTCTTATCCCACTTCACACATGAGGAAACTAATGTGCAAAAAAGTTCAATGCTAAGTGACGGAGCCAGAAAATGTACGTAGTAATGGACCAAGGATGAATGTCACCTGCAAATTCAAATTCAGGTGCCCATCCTAGCACTTGTCACTGAGGAGCAAGTTGTATCAAACCACTGAGACACTGTTTGCACATTTGTTAAATGAAACACGTAATATCTGCCTTATACAGATGTGAGGATGAACTGAGATAAGATTTGCAAACAACTAGGACAGAGTAGAGCACAATCAATATCAATAACTCCCTGTTCCCCTGTTCTCTACCTAGAATTTACATTCAGGTTATGTGACTCCAGGTCATCAGTTATAAACTACATGGCTACTATGGTCATTGACTCATTTATTCATTTTCAAACTACATAATCTTTGGCTTAATGAGAATCTAAAAGTAGAAATTAAGTTTCTTACTGCATTTCATACAGAATCTTTCTAATTAAATCAATTATAATTTTGGAATACTTCTTAAAAATGACACATCTTGCTTCCTGCAAATGGGTTTTCATATAGACCTGGGAATACAGAGATAATTCTCTATAGCCACCTTCAGCACACTGATGTACTGAGAGGGCTAATAGAGTTCTGTGGTTTTCAGGGACCAGAGAGAGAAGAATGTATTAGTTTTGTGTTGAACTACAGGATTATCAAGACGTAAGAATTGTCTCAGATTTTATAACTAATATTTTACTGTGTATCACATGTAATTCTATTCATATGATTAGAGAACATGAAGACTGGGACAGACTGGCGGGGGTGGGGGAGTCACCATACATATAATCTAAGAAACTTCCACCATAATTTAAAACTCCTTTGTGAAAACAGTAAGTATGAGTTTAACTTGTGGCATGATATACATGCATATATATGCCAATCTGGCATTTTAGTGTCTTAAGTAGTGGCTGCTTGTGAAGATGCACTCTGGTAACAAAAAATATAGCATTTTTAAAATTGATGCTAGCATTGTATCTTCAAATTGAGAGTAAACGCAACAAGAATTTTTTTTTTTTCACATTTCCAGTATTATAATGCAGCTGACATAATTATCCACTGGTCATGTTAATCTCAAAATCCACAATGCATTTTTATGACCTGTATAGTGGAAAAAGTGTTCAAAGATGTGATAATGTACAGCTTTGTTTGGGTATTTATTATCTGATTATCGTAATGTGCATCTGTTCTAAAGATTCTGATCTTGAAAACAATATGTACATTTCTTACAATATTGTACCACACAGTGTGCTGAAAATGGCTATAGAGAATTCTCTCTGTATTCCCGGTCTATGTAAAAACTCATTTGCATCTAACCAATAAAACAAAAAAGGAAACTTGTAAACAGCTGGTTTATATAGATTTTTCAAAAGGCTTATGTTCTGATCCATAACATGTGTGGAATTTGTATTAGGCTTGGGGAAAGAAAAATAGAAGTTACTACAGCTGTGAGTCAAGAAATTAATTCCAGGGAAAATAAATAATATTTCCTTTCTTAAAAGATAGTAACAAAATGTGTTTTGGTTTGGATGTGTTTCTTGATTTTACATTATTTGCTATGAAATATACCTGCCCAGAAGAGCAATAGCATCTAAAATGAAATTATTAACCTGTTTCATAACTCTAATATGAGGACACCTCTACTCATAATGTTCTAGTTTTTAAAGATAATTGACTACAGTTGAACTTATCAAGGTACTAAAGAAAGGTTTACAAAATTTCAGATAATTTGTGTACGTGTTCAGTTCTTATAGTTTAGTGTCCATAAAGACTGGGTAGTAAAGTGAGGTGTCTTGGTTGTGGGTTTTTTTTTGTTTGTTTTTTTAGGATAAAAAGAGTACAGGATGTAGTTTTACATACAATAAACTCATTAGAAAGAATCTTGTTTGCTAACAAATTCAATTACTTCATGGTTTAGATCAGTCCGCCTGTGTTGTCACTGTAGTTTGGAATATGTATTTCTGTGGGTTTAAAACTTTTCCCCTAAATCCACATTTGAATAGAGCTCTACCGCATCATTGTGTTTAGGCACCGTTAACAGCCGCTGTCATAGCTGAGCAGTCTCCATTCCTCTTCCTGTCAAAATCTTCTAAATGCTTCCTTTTTACTGAGCATTTCAAAATTGTATGTAAAATTATATACTCTGATACAAAACTGGCACCAAAATATGGCTCTCATTTAACTACCTTTATTATTAGGAAATTATAAGAATATATAATTTTTTGCCAATTTTATTTTATTTTAAGCCCAACCTCAATGCCTCTGTATTTAATAGGCTGCTAAGAAAGATTCTTGTGTAAACTTTACAGCTATCTTTGACAATAAAAACTTTTGCAAAAATAAATGTGCCATTTTTTTTCCTAGTGTTATGATTACAGAGTAGAACAGTACTCAGGATCTAAAACAAATATGTAACACTTTCTTTTAGCAGACTAGAGCTAATTTAATGACTAATTCAATGTTATATCAAGCTGCACTGAACTGACAAAAAATACTTTTAATAATTTCTATAACTCTTTATTTGAATGAAGATATTTATTCATAAAAATAGAATAGATGCTTCTTCCTTATTCTTCCTTTACTTGGTATTCTTATTTTAAAAATTTAAGGAAAACCAAGGAACAAAAATTAATGCTGATATTATTAATAATAATAGAAAATGGAAGATAAGAGTCTAGATCTCTAATTATGTTAAGTAAGTTAGAGTCTACCTATATAATGGAATAGTGTATGTAGCTATTTAAGTAATGTTGTAGAATATGTATTGAAATGAGAAATTGGTTTTAACAAAACTGATAAGAAAAGTACAAACAGAATATATGTTATGACTTAATGATATACCAAGATCTTAACAGTGATTATATTTGAGCAGTCAGCATGGTGATGATTTTTGTTTTTTAAATTTTCCTTTTTCCTTTTGGTTTTTCTGTGTTTCTGAATTATCTGCATTGGCTGTTTATTGTTTCTGAAATTAGAGACAGCTTTAATGATATCCTCATTAAAGAAAAGAAGAAAAAATGAATGCAGAAGCAAAAGCCTGTATGCTTTTTCTGTCGGCATGATGCTGGGTTCATGCTCATCTGTCCCCCTCTATTGACAAGCTCCCTTGGTGACAAGTAAGGGCAAGGAGGACTGGTGATGAGCCTATACCTGAAACAGTCTCAGGTTTTATTATGATTGCTCAACCTCGTTGAAGAAACTCATCATCTGATTATCATTATTTTGTTTTTCCCCAAATGTTGGACTTACATATCCCCCAGTTAATAATAAACGTATTCTGATCAAAACTGTTGTATGACTATCAGGTGTATAATACATATAGTGCTTTTACAGAACATATATAAAGACCACTATATTTTAATGCTATTATTTGTAAAGATTTTTGCAAAGGCAAAAAAGTACTTTTAACTTATTTTGCAAACTAAGAGGGAAAGATCATTTCTGTCAACCTTCAACTATATTCAATATTCAATCATCTGACACATTTGTCATTTCCCCCACGTTTGTTAATGCTGTTTTTATCTGGTCATCTGCCAAAGGGAAATCAGGTGTCAACAGTTGCTTCTGAGTTCCAAAGTTCTAAAAAGATATAAAGACAAATTTTGGTTCAAAAAAAATCTGTGAAAAAGTGACAAATTCTTGTAGCATTATTACAATATGTTTCTTTAATTTGAAGATGCTGAACTTACAACATAATTTTGTTAAGTATACCAGTTTTTCCATAATTATGTGGACCAGAAAATAAAGACAGGTCTGGAACTTGAGAATACTCCCCTCTACTATTAGAGTTTTTATTAAATTATTGTAAGTATAGTGTTGGGGAAAATGGCCTAAATTTCTTGCTTTATTTCCAAACAGGTGCTTTAAAAGACAATGAAAAAATATATATAAATAATAAAATAATTGCCTGATAGAGAAATAATTCTTAATTGGTTTGAAAGGTCTAATCATGGATTTGGTAATATGCTTTTCTTAGGAGACTTTTTACCATAGGAATGAAGAGCCAGGCCAGTTCCACCCTAAACCAATACTGTGACCTTGAGCAAAACCTAGGAACCCTGTAAGTTAAGCTTCCTCAGTTACACTTCACACAATAATTTTAATCATATGTTTGAATACATGTTTAATGGTAAAACTGACTATTTAAGCCCATAATGATGAAAGAATGGACTAGATAACCTATCAGGTGCATTGTAGCCTGAAATTCATTTGATTTTATATATGTATATGTTATCTGTATAACATTTATAAATTTTCAGGCATAAAGTTATACTAGTGATGAGAGCTTATATATCAAACTGCCCCACCTTTCTATTTGCAGCCAATTACTACTCCAGTCTAATGTTTCACTGTATATAAACTCATTTATTCTTTCATTCATTTCAAATATG